CCCGCAGGCTCCCGAGCCTGTGCGCGGCAGAGTGCCGCCTGCGGCACCGCCGCACGCCGCTCGGCACCCTATAGGCGTTGCACTGCCTCAACCTGAGAGACAGATATCTGAGCCCCCCTCCCCAGCTGTACTTGGTTTGATAATGAGGGTGGGAGAACATATATACGGTGTGAAAACTACACTTCCGTTATCCTAGTCTTAATTCAAAATAATAAGACGAGGTTTGCATGACCAATGCTCTAAATTTGTTATTCTTTGCAAGGACACCCAAGCTATCTTTCCTGGAAAATGTCTTCCTTCCTTCTTTGCTTAACTTTTAGAGGCTGTAGCTAAGATCTTAGCTCTTCAAATAAGAACTGTATCAGCTTCTAGAATATATTTTTTGTTACATTGCCAGAAATATTCTTTTTTTTATAGGCACATCTGACAGATGAATTCAAAATTTGCTTTTGTGAGTTTCAATCTGTTTCTCCTACAGATAAGTTCCATCAGCAGAATACAATGCAGTATAAACTTTTTAGGGAATGGTTGCTATAATGTTGCATGATTCTCTAGTCCACTCCAACTGAATTTCTATCCTATGTCAAATGTAATATTAAAAAGTAACCATATTCAAGGAGGAGGAGATTCCATGGAAGAGGTAAAGTGGCTAATGAAAATGTCTAGAAGTTTAGGAGTTAGGATGTAAAGCAACTGCAGACATTTAGGAGAAATAAATTGTCATGCTCTGTATCATTAGCTAGCAGCTGCGAACTAATAGGGGTTAGGAAGGAACTTCCACTATGGATGGTTATTCCATGACCTCCTGCTGGCATTCTTATTTTTCCATGAACTGAGCAGCTGATCCTGGCTGCTACCCAAGCAAGCCCCTGGACCACAAAAGTGACTGGGAAAGAATGAAAAATACTGCACTATATTTTTTCTTTTCATTTTTCAATTAATCTGCTTGCATCTAAGTGGTTCAAACTAAAATAGCAGCATTTTCTACATACAGATAGACTGTACTGACCAACTGCAATTACAAATCGATTTTATTTTGCTCATCTGTCAGATCATGAAACTGAGGCGGACATGCCTGGAAGTAATTTGTCTTTTCATGCAATGGAAATAAAGCACACCTACGTCCAAAAGTCCTGTCTCCTGTGTCCCATCTGTGTACTTTCTCTACTGGATCCCATGTCTCCCCAGTAAAATGGCATGAAAGCAGAAGCTCTTCTGCAATGTTCCTTCATTATGACAATAAACTGTATTTCCTAACCTAATGATGAACAGTCTGAAGTGAACTACAGAATGACACAAGATGAGGGAGGGGAGAAGAACCTTGTCTGGCAGTATGTTTTTCTTTATCTCCTCCAAAAGATTCTATTATTTTCTTCTGAAAGAAGAAATTGGCATGTTTTTTCTAACAAGACGTGGAATATCTGTTCTTTATAAAATGCGGATGATAATTCTCATCCTATTGAGATAAGCAAAACAGACTACACCTACAATAATTTCCTTTTCACTATCCCAAGCAATGAAGTTTTTTTTGTTTTTTAAACATGTACCTTTCAGAAAATCTGTAACTTTCTGTTTCTACTGCAGCTTAAAGCTGTTTGCTAGGGGACACTTGAGCATCAGTGTTAGTTATGGCTGTCAAAATGAGGGGTCCAGAGGTGGACAATGTCAGACCAGACTTAGTTTCCTCCTTTGTCATTTACATTACTGAGGTCTCCTCAACTACACAGTTGCTTTGTCATCCTACATATACCTTACAGGGTATTGATAGTATTGACTGAACTGCTGAATATGCAGTATTTCTCCATATTCAATGTAAGGCACTTGCCATACACCCACGTGAGGTACTTGCACATGTTCCAAACACAACTTCTTCGTGTTCCTCTAGTAGTACTTCTCACTTTGGGAAGAGCACTTCACAAACATCTCGTCATCTCCTGTCAGCTTACCTCTATATGTGTTTACAATAGTTCATTGTTTCTCTGATGAGGAGCTGAGAGACAGTCTATGAACTAATTTCTCAAGTTCTTTTTTTTTTTTACATGCTTTCCAGCTTTCAGGGAACTCTGTAGCTTTAGCAAATAGCACCAACTAACTGAAGTTAGTTACACAGTAAAGTTGTAAGTGGTTTGTGACCAAATGTGAAATATTAAGTTATTGTCTAACTGCACCTTGGTTGCTGGGATTGGGGGGAATTAGTCTTCAATCTGCTGCCTAAACCATGAAACTTCCCCATAAATTGACTCTTGCAGCTCAGGCTCATTCCCTGAATACCATCCATCCTCTGTGCTAAGTAAAGCAAAGGCCTTTATGAGCAGTGGAAAACAGCAGCCATTTAATTAAAGCTACATCATAATGCATACATGCAAGAAAACTAAATTAAGATTAATTACCCAGGGAGCTGCAATTAGGGTCTCTAAAGCTTTGCTTTAACATAATTTCATAGCTTAAAATATTTTAAATTAGGTTTTCTGCATATTTCTTTCTCACAAATGTACCATCAGAAATACTATGTAGATCAGTTTTGCCAATCTTCATTTACTGCAATGCAACATTCTCCTATGTGGGTTATGTACTACTTCTTTCCTTACTTTTTTCTCTACCAGACTCTTGCATGTATCTTTACATATCTTACCTGTATTCCTAACCTGAAGCTGTCTACAGTCATCGGATAGGTGCATAAAATTCAGTAAAAGATTAACAGCTTTAATGTATACAGCTACTACAGTTGAACTCAGAGTAGACCTGGAAAATGTAAGAATGCTTGGCTGACAGGCTGGTAAAGGCCTGAGCAATTTGATAAATAGGACTATGCTCTATCCGAAGCTCAAGTCTCCTCAGTTCCTAAAATTCCTGAACTTCCTAGCTTCTAGCTTTTCAGGAGCTACAGGTTCACAGATTATTACTCTATTCTACAATGAATTTTGACTTTTGAAGGGTTTGTTTCACTCCTCTGAGCTATCATTTTAAGTTACCTTCCCATCTGAAACCCTGGGACTCTGCTGTCTGAAACAGCTTTAACCCAGTGATGCATGTGCTTCATAGCCATATCTATAGAACAGATTGTGCTAGGAGCATTCTACTACAAAAAAAAATTATTAATAATTTCAACTGTACACAGGTCAGGCAGGGATAGGCAGTGGATAGACTTCTTTTTAAAAAATATGCCTTCTGAAATGATCAAATATCACTAAGTCTGGTGTTCTAAAGAAAGTTTCACGATTATTCTCTTCCTTCATCTGAACAATAGGCTAGTAGCCTTGTGAAATTTCTATGTTTCACAGACTTTTGAATAGAATCTAAACTCTCATTTTTTTACATAGCATAAGCACCTGTGCATATGACTAGTGCTTATTAAAAGTTTAGTGATAGGAATCTTGTCTTGAGCTGACAGAAACAATAGGTTCTCATCAAAGAACACAGTTTCTGTTATCCTCTCTGCCACCAATGAAACCATTATGTGGGCATCAGTACAAGCTGTTCCACTTCCACGCATCAGAAAAAAAATACAGTGTAGATGGACATGGCATGCTTGAACATTTGTACTTCCAGACTGTCTGTGTGGGTGCAGGATTAATCAACATCCTAACCTACTGTGGTTTAGACCAAATGATGGTTCTATCCAGCAGGAACTGGAAGACAGCAAGCATCGAATTAGTGAGATTTGGCACTATTAATTTCCATCTTTCAAACCGAACTGCGCTTAAAAGGAAGAACATTCTGATGAGCGGCTGTTAACAGTTCTGCCATTCTGTTGTTGCTAAAACTTCTGTGGCTTAACATCCGGAGTGCACTGAAAAAGTAACCTAAGTGTTTCTGCAAAGACTGGCTGTTGGGTTTGCTGGTTTGGGGTTTTTAGTTTGTTTCATTGTAGGGTTTTGGGATTTTTTGGTTTTTTTTCTCACTGCTGAAAGAAAATTTCCAGGTACATCTAAAAGGGCTCCCAGAGGGTTTGTCCATTTGGGTTAACTAAAGATGCAAGTTTACCCACTGTAGGCTTTGATACAGTAGCAGTCTGAGCTTGGGAAAACAGGAATCACTTCTTGGTTCTGTCACCACTTTCCTGTATATTCTTGAGCTAATAAAAAAAAAAGAAACACATTTTAACACACTAAGACAGATTTCTACTGTATAAATAAACACAGTGTAAACAGCAGTTATTAGTGTAAAGTTGCTCATCTTCTTTGAGAGGAAGGTAGGGACGTAACCTGAGTGCAAATTGTTCAACTAGCTAAACAGAAGCTTTATCAAATTGAATTTGAATTTTAGGAGTCAGCTCCTACTCAAAGGTAGTTATTGCTAACTTCAAGCAGACCAAAACACAAGTCTTAGAAACCAAGTAGGTTTCACAGTGTTTTAAATAAAGCTCCTTCATGCTGTACACTGGAAAAGAGGGTTGCTCCTACAAGTAACGGCTTCCAAAATGTGTTGCATTGCTTACTCTCAGCCTCCTTGTGAAACGTCTCTTGCGCTGTTTATGGATGATAAAATTCATATACTGTTGCCAACAGAGTCAGCACTCAAAGATCTTTCAAGAATCTTTGCAGTCACCTTTAGATTATCTTGAATATTAACTGTAAACCTGTTTCTCAGCTTGTATACTGAGTAAGGTACAGTTCTGAGCTCCTCCAAGGGCAAGCTGACAGCTTCTCTGAGCTTGACTTTATTACAAATGAAATAAAAGCAAGGATTGCTTTTCTTGCCTGCCTAGAATGAAAGGTGGTCTGAAACTCAAAATCTCTGGGAAGAGTTTTATCCCTCATATACACAAAAAGTGTTTTGGACAGCCCTGATTGTTATTATTATTGTTAATATTGCTATTAAATATTGTTAGAGTTTTTCTTTCTCTAACTCACTATAGTTTTAAGCTGAGGTGATAAGATCACTGTACTAACTGATTTGAAGTGAGTAAGTGAAAAGCAAAATTTGTTAATCCACTTATATATAGGAATACAGGGTTTTGGTCTCAGATATTTATCCATGTTTTCCTTGCTCTCTTGCAGAATTTTTGGCCCAGAAGCCCTTGTACTGCTTCAATCTGACATCCATGCAGGATTCGGAGTTGATCCTCGCTGCCACTTTTCACTTCTATGCTGACAAACGCCCTCGGCACCGGGAAGTGTTTTGTAAGCGTTCTAAGAACTCATCCTGCCGCCTCCTTCACCTGCCTCCGATCCTGCGGTTCAACCTTATTTTCCAAAGCGTTCACCAGAATTCTGCCTATGGACTAATGAAAGGGAACATCACCATGTTTCTTCAAAGGCGAGGGTCCTGGCATGCAAAGGACATTTCCCACATCATAAAAGAATCAAAACGGGCTGGAGAGCTCATTCTTTGTGCTGAGCTTGATTCTGGGGAGAAACAACTAGGCTTCCCTGAACAGGCCGTCAGTCATCTACCTTATATACTGGTTTATGCCAATGATCTTGCAATCTCTGAACCTAACAGTGTGGCAGTAACTCTACAGCGTTATGATCCATTCCCTTCCAATGACGGGGACACAAATCTGTCCCCTAATGCTTCTACTGATACCCGAGTGAGGAGAGATACGTACCTCTCTAGCTCTATTCAGAACAATGAATTGCCAGAAGCAGATTATAACAACAATAAATACAACAAACATGACATCTGGGAGAACGCCTACAAGTCCTTGAAGCCAAAAACCTCACGCAAAGACCGAAGGAGAAAAGGGCAAGAAAATACAGAAACACTTGCAAAGTCTCAGGTGCTAAATTTTGATGAGAAAACAATGAAGAAGGCAAGGCGAAAACAATGGAATGAGCCAAGGATCTGTTCAAGAAGATACATGAAAGTTGACTTTGCAGATATTGGCTGGAATGAATGGATCATATCACCCAAATCATTTGATGCCTACTACTGTGCAGGGGCATGTGAATTTCCAATGCCCAAGGTAGTATGCCTTCTTGTTGTTGTTAGCTTGCAAACAGTACAGCTACTGTTCTCCTTATCCAACTATTTCAGTTAGATTTTCCTTTAGATTTTTACCTTTCTCACTGTGCTCTGTTACCTTGTTCAGCCTAAACAGCTAATTAGTATAGTTTCCATCAACTTATTCATCAGAGTGCAAAAAGATTCCAAGTTATCTTTAAATGTAATCTGAAGAATAAGAAAAATGTCTCAGATTTATCTTACAATTTCTCATCTTCTATCTTGAAACCACAACACGAAGACTTATGCAGCTTATTAAAATGCAGTTACATATGCTAAACCCTCAGAATACTCTGTGGTGGTAGCAGAATTATAAAGTATTATATACTACTATTAAAATAAGCTACTGTATTAGAGTATTTCTGAATTCCATTAGTATTGTCCACCATAGGAGAAAAACACAGAGTAGTAACGCTGAGGTATTTTTAACTTTAACAAACTGTTGGTTAAACTGATATGTCTGTCTCAGAATTCTCTGGTGCTTTTTTAATTTACTGAATTATTGAAATTAAGATAATCCTGCTAAAAATTGATTTACCTTATGTGGCTGGAAATGCCATATAGCTGTGTGTAACACTCTCAAGCTAACGTGTGGAATTCCGCCTGTAGAAGCAGGGGGAAATTTGCTAATAGAGAGGCAAATATGAACCCCTGCTCCAAAGAAATACCAATTTGGTGCACTCCCACTCACTTGGTCTATGGCAAGAAGTAGATGTTCTGGCAATCCTGTGCAGCATGAGTATTATCAGCATTTTATAGGACTATCAAGCAATGATGGAGGGAGGGATTTGAAGCACTGCATAACCTGCATGTTTAGAAACTGTTATTTTGCAATTCTAGCTTACAAATGGCCTGATTATTTATTCTACTGACATTTTTGCATGTGGTCACTCAGCACATAAATAATGGATAGTGTTTTACAGCAGAGAATTTCAAAGCTCTGAGACAGAAATCTGCCCTACTTTACATACAGGAAGACTGATGTATGTTTGTGTTGAAACAAGTAGTATGATTTCAGGAGGAGTAGATATGCAGGCTAGTTTAAGTCCATGAACGGTAGCAATCCAGACATCATGGTAGGGCGTACAAATCTGACCACATGTGCTAGTGCAGCTGGCCGATGTTGAGCCATACATAAATTGATACATGTTCTGGTAAAAATTAAAGCTTGCACAGGCTCATATACAACTTTACTTTCTTTAGTTGTAGTGTAAAGAGATCATGTAACACAATCATCATTTAACTTATCCAAAACAAAACACAGCCTGGGAATATAGGTTCTTGGCCATAGACCCACACTCTAAGGCACAATTCATACATACGAAAGGAAAAAAAAACACAAAAGCAAACAAATATTTAACACATCTGGCTTCTTGTGAAAAAATCAGCACAACACAAAAGTTGACAGAACCAAAAGAGAATGGATCTGGTTTTCGATGGACTAGTTACAAAAGCTTATATAAAAAAAAAAAATACAGTTACAAAAGCTCTATAATAAAGATTTCACTGTAAATCAAACCACTTACTTTAGTTCTCATTTTGATACTTGTTTTCTAGATAAATTAATGTGGTTCCACTAGCACATTGGTGCCAAAAAAAACCCCAAACGAGACAGAAAAAACAGTGAAATTTAAAACTAAATCACAGATACACAGATCTGGGGATTTTTGTTCTGATGCACTCTTTGACTGGGTTTGGTTTGCAAGAGGTCTACTTTTTGTTAGCTTTGTATTTTTAAGATGAAAAAAAATAGAGGCATATTCACAGTTCTAACTCTTTTCTGCGTCTGTTTCCAAATGAAAAGAGATAACTAGAACATCAGCATGAACGAAGCTTCAAGTCAGAGTATAAAAATTGCTAAATATTATGGAGGGAAGAATAGCTTTTGTTCTTGCACATATAACCTAAGTCATCTTGACACTCTTAAATCAAAGGCCAGATTGAGGCTATTCATGAAGACTTGGTCTACAAAATCAACAGATACTATATTTTGAAAGTGCTCTCTTAGAACTGTGGACACGGAATTATATGCCTGAAATGTTGAGAATAATCACATCGTATGATTTTTATTTTTTAAAAAAAGTATCAGTACATCACTCTACTGGTGCTTTTACTTCAATACCTGCACTTCTTGATCTAGATATGTAACAGCTCTGGTACAAATCTTGTAGTCGCAAGTTCACCTACCTCACTGCTGACGTTCTTATTCCCTGAACTGTGAGGGGAAAGACTAACTTATAAAGTTAATGATGTCTGGCTGCACTGCTGCATTTGCCAAAGAAATGTTAGTGTGGTAGAAGTAGGCGGAAACATATCCTTTCTCTGTTGTACGGTAATTAGAATTCTCTTTATTTCATCCTTGTAAGTATATCAGTTCATTAGTTTCCTTTTCAGGGTTGAATTCAAACCTGAAAACAAACCTTTCCTCAAGATAAGAAATATTGCTTATTAAGATGGGGGAGGTGGTGCTTTTTGAGGGGCAAATTCATGATAAAACCGATTTTAAAAGGGGTGTAAGCCAGGCAGAAGGAGAGGGTCTAAAGTATATCAAACCTGCTGTTCAATTGCTTTTCAATTACATCATCATCCTATTTGCTGAGGCTCAAAATGTTTCTGAGCTAGGATTGTCCTAGAGCTTAAGTAAGAGAAGAACCTGGCCCGATGTATATAACTTAGTGGCCAGCCCTGAAAACATTAGCACTTCCTTAGAGCTATCACTACTGGGCACTCAACTCTTTATCTCAAGCTTTCCACTGCGGCACATCAGTACAAAGGCTAATGTGAGGCCTAGCCCATGATCACTGAACACTTATGCCAGATTTCCGGAAGGCTTGGAAAATTCAGATCCTGGCTGCATGTGGGATGGGTGTGCTGTCTGGCTCTGCTGTGGCTCACGCAGCCAGATTCTGTACAGAGTAATAGTCCATAATGAGTATTTTTCTCAATTTTGTGCATAGTGCATCCGCTTGCAGGTATTAGAAACTTAATTAGTGCTGTTGTCTTGGTAGACAGCTGCAAATGCTCACACCTATCTGTTCCTCGTAAATAGGCGAGACTGCACAGCTGGAGAAGATCCTAGCAGGATCTTCTGCAGGGTGGAACAGCCCCCTCAGGGAGGTGGTTGAGTCGCCATACCAGGAGGTGTTTAAGAGATGGGTAGATCTTGTGCTGAGGGACATGGTTTAGTGGTGTTGATGGGGCTAGGACAAAGGTTGGACTCAATGAATTTGAAAGTCTCTTCCAACCAAAATTGTTCTATGATTCTGTGATTCGTATCCAGCAGTCCTGTATGTCAGCTACCAGCACTGAAGACGATGGCTATCGGCTGCATGGGGTCAAAATATTCTACTTCAGTAGCACATTAGGATCTGTGACTGTTTCAAATAAAGGTGCTAGAAACACTTGAGGAGGTTTTTTATAAAAGTTAGAGTAAGAATTTGATTCTAGAAGCTCTAGTTCTTTGAATTTCTAAACTCTGCAGTTGCTTAAACACATGAAAGCTACATCTGTTTCTCTTGCTGTACAGATTGGCTGACACGGCCAATGTGGGCAGAAGCTTAATTCTACTTCACATAGCAGCTGTGAGACTAATTCATTGCTGGTTGTCTGTGGACAGCTTTGAAATCTAAAGATGAAGGGTGGCAGGAGAGAACAAGCTGTTCCTAATTATGCCAACATATGCTAGCTGCAGAAAGGCACTTTCCAGGATTGGTCACTTGTTGGGACTTGGCTATATAGATGATGTCTTGAAGCCCCGAAGGATCAAGTACGGATTTCACAGTTCCTCCTTGTAATGCCTCAAATGAGGTCATTTTAGTTAAAGAACATATGAAAGCCTTAATAGAATTAAGGTTTGAATCTGATTTGCTGATATGTTACACTTAAAGTAATTGTAGCAAACCTGAATTATTCTAAAAAATAGCTCCTTTGTTATACCCATGGATTACATAACTTCTCATGCTGAAATGAAAAAAGCATGTTTTGCATATACTCAGTTATTATTTGAAAAATAGAGAAGACATAGGATTCATTAATTCTTCTCACTTGAAGCACCTGCTTCCATGTGAAGCTGTACAAAGTCCCTATTCGTTGCTCCACAGATTTCATTTTCCACCCAATATACAGCTATGTACCAAGAGTCATGAAAGATTTCATGTGTTACATGTACCAGATCTGTGCAGAAAACTCAAGAAACTGTAGCAGAAAAGCCTAATACGATTAACACTATTTTCCTGCTGTTGTTCTACTCATTTGCTGGGACAGTTTAAGCAAGATAACTGAACAGGAATCCGTGAATCTTCAGCCTCAGTGGTGGGTTCCATGCCATACTACTGCCTCATGTAACTAGAGCACACGCATTCCATGCTATGCTGATACAATGACCAAGACAGGCTGTCACTCCATCACCGGCAAACCTGTGTGTGACTGTATGTACCTCAAGCAATGGAAGTGGTGAAAACTGTTTAGTACTACTCAGTTGCTCAGACAATAAGGGTCAAGCGTAGCTTGTCAGTAAAGGCTTAAGAAAAACAGCTATTTAACTACCAAACAGTATACTATTTACCTATCTTAATTTTTTCCCTTTCTTATTCTCACTGCTGTTATGCCTTATGTCTGCCTTCTCAAATATTTTGACTTGTGTTGTTTACTGCATCCAAATATCAAGAACAGATCTAAAATTTTGGCTCTGCACCCTGAACTGTACATAGATGTAGAGCTGCTCTGAAACCTCACTTCCTACTTTTCCTGCTCTCCCAGCTTTCTCCCACTCTGAAACTAGCTCAGGGAGGACGAACGCTTGGTGAGGAAGGCAGAGGGAAGCAGAGAAAGACTACAGGTATGAAGTATTTGCTTGTCATAGGGTTATGATCAGAGAGGCTCTGTCAGGTTTACTGTTCTATGGTAACTCCCTCCCATGGACACTACTTCTGAAGCATGCTGCTCTTTTAAAAGACTAATTACTCCAGGAAAAAGTAACGAATTCTAGGTTAGCATAAATGAAGAGAAATACTACTGGAACATAAGGATAGTTATTTTGGAAATACTTATATTAGCCCATTTTCCAAGTCAGACCAGAGGTTAAGAAAACAAAAGATAACATCTTATGACTGAGAAGTGTGCCTCATCTTAGTCACTTTCTCCTTCATGCCTGCCTCCAGCATTAGTAGGTGTGGTCAGGGACATCCTCTCTTCTTGAACCAGGACATTTCTTCAGGCTACTGACTGCTGGCTGTGCCACCAGTGCCCTCCTCTGGTACTTACGAAGGCAGCATAAGGGACAAAAATTATCTGTTGGATACACCCTGCACAGAAAAGCTGGAAGTGTGAGGGACTGACCATGCCCTGTGGCTCAATCACAAATATTTGCTTTTTTGAGAAACAAAAAAACATAATTGTTGTCATTTTCCAAGTCCATCTGGGAAAGTGACTGCTCATAAAACAAGTGATAACTATTGCCTTCTCTGTTCCAGATTGTCCGGCCATCAAATCACGCTACAATCCAGAGCATCGTAAAAGCAGTAGGAATCATTCCTGGTATCCCAGAACCCTGCTGCGTTCCTGACAAAATGAGCTCACTCAGTGTCCTGTTCTTAGATGAGAACAAAAACGTTGTTTTAAAGGTATATCCCAATATGTCGGTTGAAACTTGCGCCTGCCGATAAGCTCATGCGAACACATCCTTACCAAGACCCGCGTGTCCTGCCTGACTACACTGGGAAAGTTGTAAATGGGAAATGAAACCACTTGTGTTCGTGAGTGAATGCAAGCCTACAGTGCCTCTACAGAAAGCCTGTGGGGAGACTGAAAGGATACACAGGCTCACCTGGAAGGAGGTGTCTTACTGTCATCATTTCTCTTTCATATTCATCTTCCAGGAATTCGATATTTTTACAAATATCTTCCTAACCCATCTAGCCAAGACACCTGGTGTTTAGTGAGAAATTTAAGTATAAAGTTTTCCATAATCAGAGGACTAAAATACATCTTTATATGCTATTTTTCTGACTATTTTATCTCTTCAGTTAACCAAGAAGATGGGAAGTGAACTTGCAAAGGCCGACTTATTTTAGAGTATTACTTTCGTACACAAATCAAAACTTTTTGCCTAAAGCACTCATACTCCTAATCTGCATATTTATACTGAAAAAAATGCTGTAATAAAGGGCTTAAAATGTATATTTTCTTCAGGATGCAAGTATAGTGCACTGCATAAGCTTTCATATAAACAGTACATTAATATAGCCATTTTTGGTTACCCTTCCCTAATACATAATTTGTTCTACAAAAGACATATGTAATACCCCACACTTTTGGGTTGCTGGATGATTTCAGGTTGTTAAACATATTCTCTGAGTAACACATACTATATAGTAATATGTGGAAATACTAAAAATAAAATAACCAAGATTTATATTTTTGTAAATTATACTTTATATCCTCTAGATTGTTACATGCTTTTAACAAAAGCTAATAAATGAAAGGTACAGTAGTATCTAAAAATACTTGAATTGTCTTTCTACATTCTCTTAATTAGATGGAAACATGTAAATACATGTGAAGTTTGTCGTAGCGCGCCTCAACAGATTAAAGACAAAAGAGAATACTAGGACCATCTAGACTGACCTCCAGCACAGCATAGATCAAAGAACCTTGCTCAGTAGTTTCTGTACCATGCATTATGGAACTTCAGTTTTGAGCTTGGAATATCTTTGAAAAACATGCATAAATTTGGCTTTAAAGATTTCATGTGATAGTTGTTCCAAAAGTTAGTGTTCTTTGTTCACATGCAGTGGATTAATCCTAGTCTGAATTCGCTAAGCTTTAGCTTCAATTCACTGGATTTTACTGTAACCTATTTTATTAGATCCCTTTTATCTATTATACAAAACACTTCCACTGTGTATTTTTAGCATACAGAGTAGGGTCAAATTACATTTTGGCTAAGATTTAAACAGATACTTGGATTTCTTATTCTAAGCCTCAAAACAATTTCTCACAGCTCTTTTCTGAACTCTTTCCAGAATTTTCATTAACTTTCTTTTCCAACAATGAACATCAAAATGGGACACAATGTTTGGCAATGGTTCCATTAGAAGTCTTCACAGAAATAAAGCCTCTGCATCCCTCCAGCTCCTGTACAATCCTACGCTGATACATTTACGGTAGCCCTTGTAACTGCAGCACTCCTTTAAGCGCTGATGTTCATTGCGACTGTCAATCCTCTTTATCAGCGTCCCTGCATTCCAGGACACACTTGCCACATATTCCATTTTCACCCAGCTGCTGTACAACAGCATAGGCAGACTGGGAGTGGAACAAACTTCTGAAGCCTGTGAGGTAGCAGAGAGTGAAAGATATGGAGTGTTTCCTCCTCGAGAGACAGTCTGACCTTCTGTAGCAGCTTATCCTATTCAGAGTTGTACTGTTTAGGGGAAGGATACTACACGCACTGCCTTCTGAAGAAAGACTAACTGGAGGACTCCTGTTCTGCTAAGGTGCTTGGTAACTTCTCCTGTCAATATGCCATGTGGTGCAGATTCCCACACAACAGAGGTGTGTAGGTGTGGTACTTCCTGCTAACCTACATAAAAGCAAGATTCAGTGTGTAAGGGAGTCTCAGCAAGGTTACTCTCACAGCAGCTCCTGCTAGTTTCTCCTAAACAGCTCTCAGTAAGAAGTAGATAGTTCTAAAGCACCTTTTAGTGACTGCCAGTTATGACTGCCAAAAAAATCATAGAAGCAGCTAGCCATTTCTTATCCAAAAGTACTACAGTGATTTACACTGGAACTACTGGGAAAAACTTTTCTACACTGTTGCTGTTAAAGATCTCTCTTAAAAATGTAGGGTCTTGTGAGAAAATCAACTACAGCTGACAAAGTAATGGTCATGTATAAAAAAAAATTTAAAAATTCTCAGAAAAATCACCATTTATTCCTATAGAACAGGCATAAGCATAAAGCTTTTTGAATTATCTTAAGTTGTTGTAATTTCTGTTCTCTATGAAAATCTACTCTTGTCTAGTCTTGCTCCCACCTAGTACCAGCTCTGAGCAGCATGACATATTAGCCTAGTCTGCTTATGTTTTCATCTACTGCATTTAACTTTCCTTAAGGAATCTTTTCTATATCTTGGATAAGTCCTTGGGTACAAGTGTCAAGGACATTTTTTCTAAAATGAATCCAATTTCATTTCTTGAGACCACAGTTTAATTACCAGAGGTAACAAGTAACAGCTAGAGTGTACCTCAGCTTTTGTGGAGTATTTCAATTTACTTGCACAAGGCTGCATAATTAAAAGAAACCACTGGATGATATTAATATATTTGTATATCACATGAATTAACAACTCTCTTACTGCCAAACCTCAAAGAGCAGCTTTCAAAAGGAATTGCCACTGAGTTAAACTGTTCACTGTAAAGTTTCTGCAAAGCTGACACTTGGCCTGACACTATCTTTATAGATGAACTGGAAGTCTGTATATAACAACTCCCAGAGCACTTGCAGAGAACAGCATTTAGGAGAGAGGTATTTATATAGATCACTTGATCTAGCTGCACTTCATGTAATCAAAATTTATTTTAAGGAAGACAGATGCAGAACTTAGTACCCGTATTTGTGTATATTGTGAATTTATGTCAAGAGTATGAGAATCCAGGGTGATGCTATGTAAAAAGAGGTAACACAAGCTTTGAAAAGATACACACTGGAGTAGTGGGCCACATAAAGAAAGGAGATTTTATTTCTGCATGTGGCACTGCTGGACTGTCACTAGAAAACTGTAAAGGCCCAGTGTTCACCTTTTCAAAAAGATATACAAATACTTTAAGAGACACAAAAGAAATACATACAGAGAAACTGTCTTGCTACATGTGACTAAAAAGCACAATCTGTTTATTTTATCAGAAAGCAAACTGAGAAGTAACTTGATCACACTGTACAAGTACTCAGAGAGAAAATGCCAGCGCTATGGGGCTCCTTAAGCCAGACAGAAAATTATAAGAACTCCTGCCTAGAAGGTGAAGCCAGGCACAATGAAACAATGAAAGAAGGACCATGGGTTTTTTAGTGTAAGCAATAATCTTTTAGAGTAGGTGCTACAAAAATTGAAGAAATTTTCAGTTCTTTGACATTTTCAGATAAACTCTGGAGATCCTTAAAAAGTTTTGGTTTAGCCAAACATAAGTAATTGGGCTCTGGATGCAGGTAGGAAACACAAAGGCCATGAATAAAACATAACAGTCTTGTATTCAGACCAGGATCAATGTCAAATAATCCTTTCTGACTTTACACCATAGGCATTAGCCATGATCTTGGATCCCAGTTGTCACTTGGACAAATAAGCGAGCATTTGAGAAGTCTGGGATCACTTTAAATGTTGTGTGTGCACTGCTAGAAAACTAGAGAAGAATGGCCAGAAAGAACAAAATCTTGTCTTTGCAACGATTTTTTTTTCAATGTAAAAGCTCACAATACTATTCAGACTTTATGGCACATAGATTGAGTTGAGCTTAGAAAAAATTGTACATTAATAGTACAGTTAAAACACTTACATATCATTAGATTAAATCATAACGTATTCATTAAGATAAACAGCAAGTGACGTTTTTGTCTATAAATAATCTAGTTTTTTGTCTTCTGTGTCATGAGAAATTCTATCATCAGTCTTGTATTTTTGTTTTGGCCCATCCCTTTCACAGATAACAGTATCTTCCTAATCTGCTGTACCTTCAGAGAAACCTTTTACTTTCCACGTGGTCTTAGAAGGCCTAGTTCTGTCTTCATCTTGAAGTCACTGAAATAATGACTGGTTTTTCTTGGACTGGACTGACCAATCAAGAATCTAAGAAATATATTACATAAGATACTATAAAACCAGGACTAAATTCCCATACACCAAAGGAATCAAACTGAAAATGGACAAGCCTGCTAACAACATGAAGCAACTTGACACAGAACAGATATTTCACTGTGTACAAACAATAGCTCTTGGCTGATAAACGAAAAGAAGTTTTAAGGTTGTTCGTATTGTCATGAGATCATGTTTTGCAGAATCACAGGTCTCCATCCAATGATCGGGGATTTTCTGTTGGCATGTGAAGAGACTGCAATAAAGATTTGTGAGACAGTATTTACTAGTAGCTAACAGATTAATTTTGTTCCAGTCCTCTATTTTATAGTCTTGATGAAAATCGTGTAATCGTCTACGTCCCTAAGAAAGCTTCTCCATGTGTTGGCAAGGAAATGATAGAAGAGCATAATTAAGCAATGATGACCCTAAAGTGAAATGTGGATTCTTTACAATATACAGTGTCCTTCCCAGCAGCCACATGTGTTTGTCAGATGTTTACAGAATCTTCATTAACTAAGAGCTTTGTTAGATAACAGAAGCTGAAGCATGGCATCAATGACTCTGATAAGGGCAAGTGTACAACCAATCTGCCTGACAACTGACAAGAGGCTGGAGTTTGAAGCAGACTGCAAAAATAACATGAGAAAGCGACTTGCAAAGGGCATTTCAGTTTTTTGCCTTCCATCTCCTTTCCTCTGTCTGTAACGAAACAAGACTTTTAATTAGCTAAAACACCCTTGTCTTCTTGTCTCTCTACCAGAAAGTAAATATAGAAGAGATGCATTATTTTGGAGTATTAGCGGCACTGTCTGTTTTCAACATCATTGCCTGTTTGACAAGAGGCAAGCCTTTGGAAGACTGGGACAAGTTATCAGCTATGGGAAAGTCTGATGCACATTTTCATGATCCTGGGGAAGTGGAAGATGAGACCCATTTCGACTTTAAATCCTTCCTGGAGAATATGAAGACAGATTTACTAAGGAGTTTGAATTTGTCAAGAGTCCCGTCACAAGTGAAGACCAAAGAAGAACCACCACAGTTCATGATTGATTTATACAACAGATATACTGCAGACAAGTCTTCCATTCCTGCATCCAATATTGTAAGGAGCTTCAGTACTGAAGGTAGGAGAAGTCCTAAATATGTGGACTAGAAATTTTAAAGAAGTACATGGACAGTAAGCACTCAGATTCTTTTGAAATTCAGAGGGAATTGAGTGCTTAACTTCCAGAGATTCTTTAGAAATTAAATTGATTAAAATTCTGAATTGTAGTCTTGCTCTGTATTTTCTTTCGATCTTTAAAAAAGTACAATTCCCTTTAGTTTTCTTCTTTGATATTGTCACTGCACAAACTTCTCAAATGCATCAAATGAGATGATGCACTGAATAACAGGGTTTAGACAAATCATGGTTCTCAAAGACCATTGAGATTTGTAACTGAGTTTTAATGTCAGAATGTAAACTTTCGATCATCTATAATTGAGACATCCATGCCAGAGAGCTCTTCTTTCAGGCTGATTTTTTGCATATTTAAAAAACACAGCTGTCAACTGAGAAATTAATCTCTGGATCCAAGGAAGAAACAGCCGTGGCCCCCCAAAATTCTGGGTTAGGTGGAAAGATGTGTATGGAAATGGGTAGTCAAGCTTGCCTCAACCAAAACAAAAACCCTGTCTGTGTAACATTACATAGATTTTTAAAAGCTCCATCAAAAGAAGCATTTAAAACAGTTAGAAGTAAATGCAATCCTTGTGATAAAGATGAGACAGGGAGAATCAAAGCTTCTGTTTCTATGAAAAACAGACATGCACAGGTAACAGTACTACAGAGAATTCCAACTTCCCAAATCAATGCTCCTAGTCCTGAAATGGAAAGAAGTCTTAACGGTATGAGCTAGAGTATAGTTTCCATATGTCACTCTCCTCTCCAACTGCTTTAGTGAGTAAACACTGCAAAGAGGTGTCAACATTAGCCAATTAAAATTGCCCTAAAATCCAGTCATGACTAATTATCTTATATTCACCATAAAATAGACATCAGTCAGTGATAACTTTTGAACACTACCAATCTGATCTTTCAGCCAAATACCTGCCCCTCCTAAGGCAGAGTTCCTGGTACTGCACATAGCTTAGCAGAAAAAAAACAAAAAACCAACCAAACAAAAACCCCCCAAAACCCACACAAGCTCAGTGAGTCCAGACTGGAATGGATTGGAATCTGGGCATGAAAGGCTGTTTATCACTAAATCCCAATTATAGACAAACACTGAAGCTTCAGTTCAGGATTTTAAAAAAACTTTTCTATTTCCCCCAACTCTTACACATGTAGTATATATTTCTCTGTATTAGGTGGGCAGTTCATCCCACTGCATGCTAATAAGAGTAGGAGATTCACAGCTCTTTCCAGGAATTCTTTGTGTAAAAACCTCTTTAGGAAATTGCTGAATTTGAAAACTCCCCAGATACCTTATTTCTGTACTTAATGCTGACCAGCATCATCCACAACTTGTTCTAGGCAGGCTCTTTACTCTCACCTCCACACGCTCACCTGACCATGCAATCTTGATGAAAATACTACCACACTAGGGACCTCCATTTCCTCTTTTCACTCCCTGCTCTTGAAACGCAGACAGAAAACAGCATATTATTATTTTTAATGCTGGATAGTCATGTTCTTACTTTACTCCCAAAATACATCCTGAGTCTTTAAAAGCAAGTTCCTTGGACAGTCAGAAGCACTGTAACCACGTGTTTTGATTTCCTGTTGCAGATGTTGTTTCTTTAGCTTCACCAGAAGAAAATCAATTTCAGAAACACATCTTGCTCTTCAACATCTCTATTCCACGATATGAGGAAGTCACCAGAGCTGAACTGAGAATTTATATCTCCTGTCACAGAGAAGCTGGGTCTCTCTCTAGGCTGGAAGGCAACATGGTCATTTACGATGTTCTAGATGGTGACCACTGGGAAAATCCAGAAAGTACCAAATCTTTCCTTGTCTCCCACAATATCCAGGAGTGTGGCTGGGAGATGTTTGAAGTGTCCAGCGCTGTGAAAAGATGGGTCAGGGCAGACAAACTGAAGACTAAAAACAAGCTAGAGGTTGTTATAGAGAGTAAGGCTCTGGGTGGTTTCACTTGTGGGGCGCTGGATATCAGTGTTACCCCTGACACTAAAAATCTGCCCCTGTTAATAGTGTTCTCCAATGACCGCAGCAATGGGACAAAAGAGACCAAAGTGGAGCTCCGGGAGATGATTGTTCATGAACAAGAAAGTGTGCTAAAGAAATTAGGAAAGAATAACACTTCATCCGAAGAGGAAGAACAGGGGGAGGAAAAGGCCATCACTGGGTCCCATCAGCATTCCTCCAGAAGCAAGAGAAGTATTGGAGCCAACCACTGCCGGAGAACTTCCCTCCACGTGAACTTTGAAGAGATAGGCTGGGATTCCTGGATCATTGCACCAAAAGATTATGAGGCTTTTGAGTGTAAAGGAGGTTGCTTCTTCCCTCTGACAGATAATGTTACCCCAACAAAACATGCTATTGTCCAAACTCTAGTGCATCTCCAAAACCCAAAAAAAGCTTCCAAGGCCTGTTGTGTTCCAACCAAATTGGATTCAATCTCCATTCTTTATAAGGATGATGCTGGTGTGCCCACTTTGATATATAATTACGAAGGGATGAAAGTGGCAGAATGTGGCTGCAGGTAGTATATAAGGCAAAAATCTCTAAAATACCGCTTTTTTTCTGCTCTGTGTAAATCTGTACATTAGTGATGCTAATGAAAGTCCTTGCAAACAAGGTTTGGAGCCAGGTATGGGGCTGGTTGTTGTTGCTGCTTGTTTTAAAGGAAAACTGGCATTTAAAGGATGAAAATCATTGTAAATAGCCTGCATTATATATTATGACAAAGTAAATACTGGATTAAGATATTGTGAGATTGAATGAGTTATGTTTATTCAGATCTGTTTAGGTCACAAACTAAGGGATTTTCAGTGGGATTTAGGATGTCATGTAAACCTTTAACAGGTATTGAAATCTTATTTTCTCACCCAATTCTGACATTTTCAACTTCTGTAAAACTCAGTAGACGGAATTTAGTCTGCGTGGTAAAGTTAGGAGTCAAAATCCTGCAAGCCTTTTCTCCTATCAGTAATCTCAGAGGCTTTTACAGACAAATTATTTAACCCTGTAAATGAAGATTTGCAGTATTCAAAACAGAAGAGACTCTCCGTCTTATTTCATTCCCAGGTTTCCTTCTGTGGGTAGCAGGTGCCTTGGTTTCAGCTTTCTTATCCTCAGCGTCCCTATTTTTACCCCTTTATGGCACATACTTGAATGATAAGAAGTGCAGCCTTCCGCTTCTAAGACACTGTTTCCTAGGAGGAACAGCAGCTCTTATCTCCGCACAGAGATAAGGAGCCACTTTGACTTACTGCATATTCTTAGTATTTCTTTGCAAGAACATGCAGTCAAACAACATTCAGTCTTAGAAGCTGTATTCTAAGAGCAGTGGGGGTTGGCAGATCTCAGCACTTGTGAAAAGCCCAGGCTACTAATTCAGAGGCCTAAATATGTTCTTTGGAGCCTGACATTAGGGTCAGGATTGGGGTTTTTTTAATTTCTTTTTTGGAGAAACTCTGTTTTACATACAAAATCCTTTCATCTCTTGGAAGTTTGAGAAAAACTGAAAACTGCTGTGTATGTTCTATGAAACTTTTACTGCTGTATGGGAAATATACTGTCATACAATAGTTCTCCTGACTTCAGTTGTATTTTCACTAAACATCTCTCCTGCAATTAAAGCAAACTTCCTTCTATTTTAATGAAGGTTTTGCCTGTAGTAAGACAAAGTGTCTTCTGTTAGTTTCATGTGATAGGTGTAAGTGCTGTACAATGTCACCATAAAAAAAATCTATCAGAGAATGCTTCTGATCCAAATCCACATTTGTTCAAAATGGTGAACAACACTGATGAGGCAAAAATCTAAACAGTAGCTTAATGTATGGAAGCAACAGGATTTAAATCAATACATATGTTTTAAATTAGGGCAGCCTGTGAGCAAGGCGAATTCATTTGGCATGAACAGGTCAGCCTGAAATCTAATACACAGTTTATTTACTATTGTTAACTTAATACAGAGCAAATAGCAGGTGAGTGTGAGCAGGGTGGTTGTAATTCCATCAAGAATGGCTGGTTACATCACAAACCAAGCGCACAAAGCACGATTCACCAGAATTCTTGGGCTGATTTATATACTCTTCCTTTAGATCTGGGCTGCAATTGGGTCAGATCCCAGATATGGGTCCATGCAAACTCCATCCATCCATAGCTGCATGTAATTAACCTCCTAAGCTTCCCGTGGCAGTCCTCTCATTTTACCACATGCCACCAGCTTCTGTCATCTTATGGTCATCATCATGTCTTCCTCTTTTCAGAACACCCTGTATCCACTCCCTGTTTGGTTCATGCCTCCTAAGCTTATGATATTTTGCACAACTTTTCCCAATCAAGTAAAAGAAACCGCCAAACAAGTACTTGGTGTGGTCACGTTAGAAAAGTTATCCACCCATATGTCATGGTAATTGTAGCCGTATGCCCTTAAGTCATCTAAACACAAGGTCCTAATTATATTTTGACTTCACTGAATACAGGAGATTGTCCATAATTAAATGAAAAAGTGGAGAAGGGGAAAGACCGGTTCCCACATGCCCACAGAAAGAAATTCTGAAAAATCATTTTTTTTCCACATTCTGAAGTCAAATGTTGATCTTTGTTTCCCGCTAGTAGTAAAATGAAACATGAATCTTTCTGTACAGTGATGATCAGGGTCAAGAAGAAATAAGAACCCACTAGTGACTACTGATGTTACTTACAGCACAGCTGAAGTACGTGTCAAATTGATATTTGGTTTTGCATTGGAAATTTGGCAGCTTGATTTATGTAGTTTTGAACATTTGATTTTAAACAATTGCTGAAGTTCCCTCACGCTGCAACTGATTTAGGATGCAACAAATCAGCCAGGTGGCCAAGACATGCTAGGGAGTATATAGGTTGCAAAGAGCAGGAAATGCACTTGCCCCATTTTATGCTGGGCTCCACTGGACACTGAAAAAAAACCCTCTCATCACTGGATTACATCAACCAGCAGCTTGCTGCTACTGAGGAGCAGGTTGGGGCTTGTGCCCTCTCCAGCAGATTCACAGTTAAAATTAAAACTTATTTAACACAGACATGTGGCTGGAGCATGTCCTCCTTTTTAGGCCCACTAGCTCTCTGTGTAACAGCCCTTAACATTAGAATCACCAGCTGCCTCCACAGCCAATTTTAAAGCTACCCCATAGCACTTTAGGCTTAATAGATAAACATAGTAAGCTGGTGGAAGCTGGTCAGGAGATACAGCTGTTGCTATTTTTACACAACTTCCCACCTTACAGAGCTTCTCCCTGCCACACAGCAGCCATAACATCCTCTGATCTCATCTTCTCCTCTGTGTCATGTCCTAACACAGAAGAACAGCTGCTGGAACTTATCACTTAACAACAAAGCACCAGTGATCGCTAAAAGTCAAAAATATCTCCATTTTCACTATTCTTTTCCAAAGGTGAACTGGCAATGCCCTCATTGGGATCTCAAGATGTTCAGCTGGTATCTTCTAGGACACCTTTACACTGGAAAGATCCTACCAATACAGAAACATTAAGCTAGAATTGCCAGTTCCTGATATTCATAAGTTTTACACTGCCTGACAAGGAGGCTTGTAATTTCAGACATACTTGTGCTCTAACACAATTAATGCTGCCCCCAGACTCACTGCTGATTCTTCTCTCCAGCCTCGTCAGAGCCTGGCCCTTACCACACAGGTAGGGCACGCAGGTGCACTCCCCTATGAGGAAAGGCTGAAAGAGCTAGGTATGTTTAGCTTGGAGGAGGCTGAGGGGAGATCTCATCAATGCTTGTAAATATCTAAAGGGTAGGTGTCGGGAAGACAGAGTTAGACTCTTAGTGGCATCCTGTGACAGGACAAGGGGCAGTGGTCACAAACTGGAAAACTGGAGGTTCAAGCTAAACATAAGGAAATAAGTTCTTTACTGTAAGGGCAACAGAGCACTGGAAGAGGCTGCCCAGAGAAGCTGTGGAGCCTTCATCTCTGGAGATTTTCAAAACCCACCTGGACATGTTCATGTGTGAGCTACCCACAGTGAGCCTGGCAGAGGGGGTTGCACTGGATGACCTTCAGAGGTCCCTTCTGTGATTCTGTAACAGCCTAACAACAGCTCCACACCCCCTCTGGCTGCCCTGAGCACCTAACAGGACATTGCATCTTGGTATTAACAACCTCCCTTTTCCCCGTGTTAGCTCCTGAACATACCATTTGTTGTGCGTTCAGATAAGAAGAGGGCAGGTCCCTCCACAGTCTCTAGAGAGCGAGGCGGGGCTCAGAGGCCTGCCCGTCCCTCTGCAATGCCAGAGGCTGGCTGCAGGTGCCTGATCGTGCAAATCTCTGCCCTGCCGACCCAGGTCCTACTGAGGCCTACAAACCTCAGAGCCATCTTTGGCCTCTCTTCAGCCTTCAGAGCATCCTCTAAGCCGCCTCGGCGCCATGGCCGCGCTGTGAGGGGCCTCTACGGAGCTCCCGCCTCACGGCCTCCCCGTATCCGGGGTGTTCGTGCTGCCCCGGCGCCATCTTCAGGCTGCCTCATGCCTCTGCGGCAGCTCTCGTGTTACTCCCCGAACGCCTTCACACGTTTTCTTCCTCTCCCTCAAAGGCTACCTTAAAATTTCTCAGCTTTAAGGTGCCTTCTGCCGTCTCCCTCTGGGCTGCCCATGGCCTTTTCTCCCACCTCCGTGTCCCTGAGCTGCCGCACGCCCATGTCAGTGCCAGCTGCTCCTTCCAGGCTGCGCCTCAGGAACATTTTGTGCCTCCAAGCTGCCTCAGAGCTGCTCCGGCTTCCTTTTTGTCTTCTCCCTTAAAGC